TGTAGACACTTGATCTAGAGCACAGTCCTGGCCTTCTTCTCAAAGGGAGCCTCAGGCAAGCTGCCTGCAACAACACCAGCTTTAGTCAACTGCAAGACTCTAGCTTGGCATTTAGCATCCACCCGGTGCCTGGCTGGTGTGGGGCCTGCGATGAATCTCTTCTCAGGTTTGTGACTTCATTAGGGACTTCCTGTGGGGCACCCTCACCATGGGGCCTCCCACTGGGCTTTCAGAAGGAAACCATGGAGGGACTTCAGTATCAGACATCCAGAGACAGTCTTGGAACTCAATGAAATCAAGGGGACAGCTGAAAGCCTAAATATTGATATCTTGCTATGGATAAAACTATTTGGATCAGATATTGCTACTCCAATTAAAATTGAGTAGCCAATTTCACTTGGCTGCTGGAAATCACTGTTCAACTTCTTAGTGAAATTCAAAGCAGCAATAATAAAACAAAATGGTATTGTACATTTCTATGAAAAATCGACAACCAAGAGAAAACTTCATTGTTCAGAAAGTATTTGTGGGTAGGGAGAGGCTCAGTGGGTAAAAATGCTTACTGTACGAGCCTGAAAGCCTGATCTTGGGTCCTAAAAACCTGTATAAACAGAACCCCCTAGGAGGAAAAGAACTACATGTGGCCGTTCCCAGCAGTAACATTGGTGCTCCTAAGACAAGATAGGAGGTGAGGGTAGGAGATGCACCTGAAAGCTTGGGGAGCAGCTAGTCTAGGATACACAGCACGGTAAAACAAGCGGTGTGGAAGTCTTCTCCTGACATATACACTTACAATGTGGCATATGTATGCGTGGAGACTCACAAACACACAGGCACACATTTATATAAAGAACCCAGACTTTAAATGAGGTTCATTTAGAATCCAAAAGCATTTGTTATAACCTGTAGGATGGTTTAAGGGCTGTCTATTAAGCGAGGAGTTTTTTTTTTTCCATTCTACTATTCTGAAATTTGTGTTCACTGAACCCACATGAAATATTGGTGGATGGTGATGCTCGGTTCGGACAAGACTCCACTTAACTTCCTGGCTTTAGGACATACCTGTTTTGGGGCCTAATATATCTATTAACAGGACAAGCTTTATTTCTTCAAAAGGCATCCATCATGTTCTCCTGGAGGGCAGGGGCATCAGGTCGAACTCTCCCCACTTGGAGCCCAGATGCCTTCAGTGTGCCATTGTGGTAATTAGAAAGATGCCTTTCCAGCCAGAGTCACTGAGTTTTGCACAAAGTTCTAAACGTTTTGGCAAAGGGAAGCATCCTAACATGCATCTTAACATGGGCCTTTTAAATCGAATCAGAGCCGACAGCTTCAGCCCTATCCTCCTTGTGGAAGAAAGTCACCACACACACACACACCTTATGGTCAGAGGGAGAAGATGCAAGGGAAGGATGTGTGTGAGGTAAGCACACGTTACTGCTTGGAGACAGCTCCAGGGCCAGGTGCTGGGGATCAGCAGGGACAGCGAGCAGAGGGAGAACAACCAGGTATTTATTTTGTACTGGCATTATTCATGACATCAAAAGCACCCATGCACCTGCCTACACTAGTCGTTTAACTCTGACAATTCTAAAACTCACTGGGTTCATTCACACCAAGCCTTCCAGGTCCAGATTTTCTCCTCTTTGTTTGCTGCTGCCCTGCCTGCACTGTCCACTGCAGTGAAGAAGTTGGGAGGACAGAGGCAGGAAGGGGAGAAGGGAAAGGAAGGACATCTGGGTGTGGCCTTGAAGATTTGGCTTGATTTCAGCAGCAGGCAAACCAAGCAGCGACACATTTACATTTCTACCAAAAGCTACCTTTGCAGTCCCCCTGGGAGGAGGCTGACCTTCCGCAGTGGACGCTTTGGTAAGTATGTCATGGTTTTCAGTGTATTAGCAGAATCGTCTCCATTTTTGTCACTAGCTTAGCTTTGTTCCAAAGGATGCCCTTCCCTCTTAAGAACAACCAATGAGGGAGTGTGAACGATCTGCCAAGAACTATATTATGGTTAAAGCAGAAACAGGGAACTCTAGCCAAAGAAATGCTGTTAATCATTTTACACAGGAAATAAAAAAGGAAAAATAGAATGAATTGTCTTTACAGCCAGAAAAGCTGAGACACATGAAAATGTTTTGGCTATTGAAAAATAAAACCCGAGATATCATACAAGTCCATATATATGTATTTCTAGACACAAAGTCAGTTTGCTCCATCTCACTGGACAGTGCCCCTGCCTGCAGAGAGACAGCAAGCGAGGCTGGCATCGGGAGCCTACCCTGCCTACCCTGAGGAATATGGCCCCACCATGTCCTCCTACCACAGGCAGCCGGGTCCCTAAAGGATGCTCTTCTGTGGGTTTTCCAAAAATTTTTGGGCTGGCTACTTCCTTAGGATATTTGAGGCAAAGGGAAAAATGTTTCGGCTGAGAGGGGCTGGGCAAGGGGTGGATGCAGCGGAGGAGAGAGAATCTCATTTTCATGTCTGTGTTTGGCAGTTCCTGTCAAGTTCATCAGCGCACTACATTTTGGGGAAACAGCTCCCATGTGGGTGACAAGCAGCCACACATTTGTGCCTAAAAATGAGCAATGAGAGAAGGTGTTTCCTCTGGGCAATAGAGTCTCTGTCCCTCCTCCTTTGCTTCAAGCCATCATTAGCAAGGATGAGTCCAGAGACCAGATGGGAATTCTTGCCCATCAGGCAATGTCCCTGAATACCCAAGGCTGAAAGGCAAACAACAGCCTGCTTGTTGGCAGGATCTCCAGGGCCCAGAGGAATAAAAATGGTCAGTTGCTTTCTCTTCCCTTTAATCAGTCCCGTGCTCTCTGCTGAAACCACATGCCACATCCTCTGGCCCAGCTCATTTGAAGGAACAGGAAAGGAACTCTGAACTGCAGGGGCCTTGGCATTTGAACTCCAGTCCTTTCATCTCTTCCCCCGGTATGTGGCAGACAACATGCACTGCATTTGCTCATTAATTCTGCTGACCAAGTAACATGCCTGGAGAAAGTCTTTAAAGTGTAGGTTATATTTTATGCTCTCATTGGATGCCTGGTGAGTGAACCAAGAGAGGTCTGGGGAATTGCTGTCCTGAAGACCTCTGGGGAGAGCTGATGGTCCTCTAGGAGGACACAGGTCCTTGCCACCTCCATGGCCATGTCTAAAGCTAAGTTTGGAGATCGGTCCTGTAGATGTGTGGTTGCAGCGGTGGCTTGCCAGACCTCTTCAGTGAGCCTACTATTTATTCATCCTTATGCTAGCTTATCCCAAACAAACTGTGATGTTATATGCATTTCTCTCAAGGAAAACTGGCAGGTCATTTAAAAAGAAATTGCGCATATATATGAAGCCCAGGTTCAATTCAAATTTCAGGTTGACTCAATTCTTGTACACCTAATATAAGCATATTAAGAATCCAACTTTCACCTTCAAAAAGGATAAACCTATTTTAAAGAGAAAGGTTTTATATCAAGATCACATGTAACATCAGAAAATCACATGAATATCTCTCCTTTTCATATATGAAGACTTACAGAAGTGCTAGTGAGGACAGATTTCTCTTCAGTGCTCAGAAACCTAGCCTCCATCTCAGGAGAGATGGAAATGCTGGGCTAGCTTTAGGACAATGCATATGACTTTGGGAAGCCCTCGAGGTACAATGTTCGCTTGTATGCTGAGCTCCTAAATAACTTTAAGGATGGAGTTTAGAGGAAAGTCAGGTTTTCTAGGGCAATGGCTCTCCTATGTCAGAGAGTGTCAAGTGGGCTTCCCCACCGAGCTCTGTTGACAGAATTGCAAGTCTCATTTCCCCGTCCTACAAGTTTCTGTGTCACTGGGTCCTGATATTGTCAGGAGAGAGACTGATGTCTGTCACCACTGCTTTGGGGACCATTTAACATTCACAGATAACCATTTAGTGCCCATTTTTTGTCCTGATATCCATCTGAATTCGTCTGAGGTCCATGTCGTGCACCAAGCTCATGAAGTACTACTAAAAATAAATTACTATTACCCAGAACTGCTGACATTCCTTACCCTGTCCCGTCTCTAGGAACAATGTTACATAAGCCCTCCATCACGTTGGGCTGGTGAGTGGTTACACATTGTGTCGTGCCCATCATAAATGAATGATCTCTTCTATATACTCTGCCTATTGTCATTTCATCTCAGAGAAACTTCAGAGGCAAGGGTGGTGGGGATATCTTTCCATTTACCTCTATACTTCTACCAACAAATTAACCAAGATCCTCTATTTCAGTTGCCTGCAACCTCTCAGAAGCTGGAGACAGGTGTATGCTTTATTCTCTGGTACATATAAGAAGATGAAACTTATTACATCGCTCTAATTTTCTTTTCTGACAGTGTTGGTAACTGTGGGTCTTCCTGGGTCCATTAGACAATATCCCTCTCTTTGTACAAGGTATCTTTCCTTGGTGCCTCTAGTCTGACTGAGCCAATAAACATTAAGAGAGGACTTACATGTGAATCTAGGAAATGAAGCACACAAGGCAAGCTTCTGTAACTCAAGGAGTAGATGCCCCTTACTTGGTACCAAGTTTGGCCCCCATCTTGATGAGAGGTTAGGTGAATTATATTGGAGGAAAATGTTTAATTTTATGGCATACTGGCTTGAAAGTTAGAAAGCTTCTTTGGGGGATTAAACAACTCCTAAGGAGGAAGTACATGGACTGAATTTCATCTGTAATTCAGCATCAGCTGTGGCTGCCACACTCTGGAAAGGGGTTTTATGGGTACAGGCAAATATCCTTGCATAACGGCCTCAGATCTGCATACAGAGAAACAACTGGAGCAATTTAAATCACTGTGTTCCCAAGGAGGAGTTTAACGTTCTATTAATAAAATGTAGTCACTCAAAAGATGGAAGTTTAGTGTAACTCAAATAAAAGTGAATTATGTGGCCATTTCCCGCACTTATTCCCCGTGTAAGATTCGGTGCTCGTGATGATACCTCCTGGGGACCGGGCAGTTCCCGGCATTACCTGATTCATCGACTCTCATCTTTTTAGTTGGGCTGTCACAGTCCTCATCATCAGACATTTCCATTTCCTCCTCACGGCGGATGCCCATGAGCTGCTCGCTCTGAGCGTTCCGGAGCTCCTGAAAGCACAGGGTACGCGGAGATCAGAAACACGCCCAATCCTCGTCATGCCATCTCCCCATGGTCCCTGGTGGACTGTGACTCACACAGCAGCATTTAGAGTCCAGAGCGTCCACCCAAGACCACCTCCCAAGATGTAGAATAATGTCATCGGGGGAATGGGTCTTGAGGGAAATCCTTGCTCACCAAGGAATATAAATGCTCTTTGGTAAATTAGTTAATCTCACTGTAGTCTCAGTTTCCTGATTTATAAAAATGGGGTAATAATGTCTGCTCTTAGCAGGGCTGCCGAGAGGATACGGAGAAATAGGTGTTACACAGAGGGCACATAGAAGTGACTTTAACTGCTAGTAACTATGTGAGTGGGGGTGTCTTAAGGAGGCCACTTTTTAGCATTGGTCTTATTATAACTTAAGAACACTACTATTTGTTAACTGCTTACTGGAACATTGTGGTACTAGTGGTTTGGGGCATGAAATGAGTTAACACATGTAAAAAACTTGAATGTATACATGAGTTTATGTGTGGCATGCGTGTATGTGTGTATACCTGTGTGTGTGTGTGTGTGTGTATGTGTGCACACGTGCGCACATGCCTGTATACCGTGTGTGTCCAGAGACTGAGGCTGTGTCTTCCTATATTCTCCATCTTAAATTTTTGAACCAAGGTCTCTCACTGAACTTGGAGTTCACTCGATCAGTTATACTACATGGCTATAAATTCCTAGTAACTTGTGTTCACTTCTCCAGGTCTGGATCACAAGGGCATGCCAATTTATTTATTTTTTATTTATTACTATTTATTATTTATACTAGGGATCTGAACTTATGTCCTCAGGTTTGCTTACAGACTGAGTCATTTCTCAGGCACTGCATGTGAAAGACTTGCTCTCATGCTAGACACTATGTTGAGCTGCTATGCATGTGCCTGTGTATGATTTACCCAAACCCTCATGCCATTCATATATCCATGAATAAACTTCAAAAGACATTGAATCAGTAGCTACAGAGAGGCCTTCTCTCTTATAGCCCATGGTAATGTTCACAGGCCTGTAGAGGTCTGTGGGAGGGATGGCTTACACATGATGTTTTGACCACAGATCTGACAGTCTGCCATGTCCAGTGACGAGGGCAGTGGCTACAATCAAGTCAGGAAATTTCATAGAGTTTCTGTCTTCTTATCCATAAAGGGGGATAATATTAAGATAAGGATATTTGGCTGCAATGGTATACCAGAAAATCCATTGTAAAAGGAACTGAATCACACATATATCCTTATTAATGTTCCTGGAAGCAGAACATTGCAATTGTTTACAGTTACAATTGGCTATATCCTTATTTTATGCCCAGCTATGTATTATTGAATTGTGAAGACATTCTGTTCCCCAGCGTGTGCCATTCTCAAAAAGACCTAGAACAGAGAAAGGCCTCAATTGTTCCCCCCTTTTTTTAAAGGCCTCTAATTAAAAACCCACTGCTTATGATAAAAGTCAATGATTCCACCAGTTCATTAGGGCATGGTTACTGCCCATTCAAATGTGCACTTGCAGCCCTGGCTTTGGACATCCCATGGCAGGATGGGAAGGGCATCCTTGTTGTTACCAGTATCCCAATGGATAGCTCTGCACCTAGGGAAATTGCCCTTGGGGAGTACAGGGAAACAAGAGGGCAGACAGCCATAGGACAGCCCCAGGACAATAAACAACGCCTACCTTTGTGACCATGCCACCTAGAAGAAAGCGGGGCTGCTTATGTCTCAAATAAGGCTACCAGGTTTTGGAGGTAGATATCATGTGTGATTAGCAGGGAAATTTCCGGGTGTTGTACAGCTAATTTTTCTATTGATAAAGAGCCCAATTCCCAAAGAGGTGTCTGGAAAACACCCAAACAAGGAAAAACCAGGTGGAAAGTATAAACAAGGCTGAAAGGGCGGTTGTTTGGTTCTGCAATTAATGTCAAACTGTCACATGACAGTTGTTTTGTGGGGAAGGTGGCAGAAAGGGAAAGTATTGGAGGAAAGGGAATCTAGGGTGTTTCCACAGGGTGCTCGAGGTTCATCAGTAAATCACTAGCACACTCTAATAAATCTGTAGAGGTGTTGCAGGTAATTACCAGATGCTGTACATGGGAATGCGGAAAAAATCAAGCCAATTAGCAAGCTTAGATGCAACTGAGAATCATCCACGATGTTAAATTACAACTGGTATTTAATCAATTAAGCAACATGTAGGAGAAAAAAATAAAAGGCAATTTATATTTCTGTTTTCTAATGTTTTCCAAAAGATAAGGTGGGGTGGCAGGAGGGACTTCTGTGAGTGACAGTCCACCCCTCTGGACTCTCCATCCTATCCCCTAGAACCAAGAAAGCAAGCAGGATTCCTCAGAGCCAGGCTGGGAGCTGAACATGTCCTGCTCTAAATAGCACCAGATGCAGGCTAGGACAAGCTGTGAAATGGAGTGGGACCAGGTGGGAAGCAAGGCTGAGTCCAGTGTCTGACGTCTGCTGACCCCCAAAGAGGGTGGCCTTTCTGTGCTCAAGTGTTTTCAGCATCCTGTGGCTTGCTGGGTGTCTGTTAAAATTTCTTTCAGTTGTATTTTATTTGATATGAATTTAAAAAGAGTCCAAAGGTTCGCCATTCCAAAATCTGAATCATCGTTGACTTATAGTTTATGAACTTCAATTTGAGTTTTCAAAGGGAAGCAGAGGCCTCTTCTTAGTCCCCTCTCTTAATAATCAACTCTGACTTGGGTCTTATTTCAGGGTCAGGGAGAGCATCAGCTTTTTGTTTGGGAGCCATTGAGAAATTAAAGAGAAACCCTACCTCCTCCTTACAGTTGTCAAAAGTGGAAAAGCTGTGTATGTCACCAGACACCTTCCTAGGCACTATCGAGCAAAACTCACAAATGCACTTAGCAACAACTGCATTGGTGTTCTCAGGACCCCATCACTCAGTACTTGCCACCATAACAGGGACAATAAAGAATTTATTTAGTATTCATGTGGATATTACATGTAGTGCCATTGGTATTCAATAGCAATTTAGCATTAGTTAATGGGCACTTAAAATGCTACCCAGATGATGGATGTCGTAGGACTTTGTGCTTCCTCAAACGCTCCATAAAACACTTACAAACCCGTTTCAAAAGTAAACCTTACCTTCTATAACTTTGTGATTTTTGAAAGAGGGGGTGTCTTTTAGAGAACTTTAATATTAACATGCTAGAAGTGAAGAAGCATCCACACGAGCCACATTCCCAGTTAAATAAAAGAAGAAGAAAAGAAGCAAAGGAAGACAGGATACTTACTTTTACATTACAGGTTCAAAGCGAACACTACAGGTGGAGTCAAAAAATAACAGCTGGATGACCAATGACTAATGACACGGTGTGGTCTGTCGAGGTGGCAAGCAAAGTCAAGTTGCAGCCTCTGTCCTTGGTGGTAGATACTCACACATGCATTGATGCTGTGAAATCAGCTAGCATGGACATTTGCCCCCACCATGAGATTTGCTCTGGGGAGACAGGTGACAGAACCTTTTGGCTAGCCCAGTAGACTAGGCATGGCTAGTGACAAGAAGATATGGAAAGGATGGCATGCTTGCCATTTCAAGCCCAAAGAGCCAACTGTCATCACCACATGGATCATTGAAGAAAACCTCAGTACTCGGTGATTAGTTTTCTAAATTGGCTTATATATATTTATATTTTCACTCTCATTGTATATATAGCATCTTGGTTTGTTTCTGAGTGAGCTCTTACTATGAGTGAGAAAGACCTTTCTCCTTTGAAGAGGAGAGAAAAGGATGTTCTAAGTGTGAAGCCAGCTGCTTCTCTGGACAAGAAATGAAGTGGAGCTGGATGTGCAGGGGACAATGGCACGGGACAATGGCAGAAGGACTGGCCACTGTGACAACACCATTAACGGCTACAGCCATACTATTCTCTGCCAATCCAGCTTGTGTGACGGTGGTTAGAAAGGAACAGTAAAATCACCAACCTCAGAGTGCTTTCGCCAAATGTCTATGTTCTTGCGCTGAGCTTTCGAGAAATGGTCCCAAGCTTTTTGTCTGGTAGAAGCGTTGAAAACGGCCACAATCTGCTCAACTTTGGTGAACAAGGAAGTCAAACAAGACAAGTAATTTATGTTGTGATCACTCTAGGGAAGCAAAGCAAAGACACTAGGAGTCTATGGATGATGTCACAATAGAAACAACATCATCAATATCCATCCAGTTTGTGCCTTTTTTTTTTTTTGTACTTACATTTTAGCAAGGGTGGGGATGTCTCCCTTCAAGTCTGTCTCCATAACTTTAGGTTAAAACAGATTCTATAGATGACTGGGGAAAGGATCATGGGCATATACCCCAAGCACCCTTTAGTTCTGTTTGTAAATTTCATATGACAGACTATAGATCTAGATCTATAGCTCTATAGACCCTGACATTGTCATACAAACAAAGGTATAAAAAGCTCTACCTGGCCTAGAGGAGTGGAGTTCCCCCTCCCTGTCCTTTTCTTCTTTAAGGACTAAAGTGAGTCTTCCTGCCCATGGGCTGGTAACAGGAGCCACCCATTCCTTCTGAAGACAGACCAAAGTTTGCCAGAGCAACAGCTCTAGCCTGTGGGTCTGACTTTAGTACTACATGAGGAGGTGTTCTATTCTTTATTGAGTTCATCCCGTATTGTCTGCTGTTCCACAATCATGCTCATGAGCATTCCCTCCTCGCTCTCACACCACTTGAGGTTTGAATCCTATTACCATGACCTCATTGATCAATTCTGTGAGCCCTAGGCACAGTGCAGTTTAGATGTTAAATGTTGAGGGACTGTGAAAAGTCACAATAGAGAGAAAGGGATGGGATCTTATGGGTTGTTAGGTGTGGGGCCAACCAACTATAGACTCAGGCTTGTTGAACAGTTCTTGATCTGGTAAGTACAAGATTGAAAAGACTAGCGCTTTGAATCAGTCACATGGCCAAACCTGAACTTCAAAATATTGAGTTCAATTCTTATGGTTGCTAATACTGTATCCCACAATTCTTTCCTAGGTGATTCCTGGATCTCTGTTATAAAAGAGAACTTCAATTCTCTTTCAGATCTTCTAATGTTCAAAAAACAAAAAACAAAAACAAAAAACAGTCATGATAGCATGGCCTCCAAAGGTGAGTGACATGCAATTATTACCAAATAAATATTAGCACACAAAATGAACGTGCACTTAATGTGCTAAAGTAGTGGTTCTCTATCTGGGGGGTCACAACCCCTTTGGGGATGAAATAACCCTTCCACAGAGATCACTTGAGACCATCTGGAAAGCACAGATATTTGTGTAATGATTAGTAGCGCCAGTCAACATTACAGTTATGAGGTAGCAATGAAAACAATGTTATAGCTGGGGGTCACCACAACATGAGGAACTATATTAAAGGGTCACAGGGTTAGGAAGGTTGAAAGCCACAGTGCTACAGGGAAGTGAAGCATGTTTCATTCCTTACAACAGTTGGAACATATCCTATAATGCTAATTATAGGATTATTCCTGGTCTTCAGGTATTTACACATGGACCATCTATGTCTGCTATTTTGTATTCCAGAAAAATCTCAATTATAAACTTCCTTACTTAGAAAACCCCACCTCCATACTACACTATGAATCTGCTTCACTTAATCTTAACAAGAGTCTTTTCCACGGGCGTGGCTTACTTTCTCCCTGTGCTTCTGTGGCATCCTTTCTCTGCCTCAGCTGGAGGAGTAAAGTTTCAGATTAGTCACCTTGAGCCACCATAAGTGCTCAAGGGAGTGGCCACTCAGCTTTTCCGATGCTGATTCTTCAGGCTAGAATCATGGATTATTTTGACGGCCCCTTGCAGGGTCAACCTGGAAGAGCCAGGAGTCAGCTCAGGATCTCAGGAATGGTATCAGTGCTACCATTGGTAGGGTTGGGGACCATGAGGCTCCATGGCTTAAACAACAAAACTCTTTGGCATCACTTAGAAGAGGAAAAGCAATGGGGGGCAAGGTGAGTATTTGTGTGGTGATAATCAAAACTCTGCTGTCTACTAGAGAAGATTCTTATTGAAGATGAAAAAATAAAGAGTACATGATGTATACTCATAACTGGAGAAGGGAATGATGGGAAGAGATACCACTAACAAACATGGAGGAATAGAGGAAGAACAGAAGCCAGAGCCTGGCTCACCATGATACAGGTTAAGAGTGAAAACATCTATTCAGGGATGTTTGCTGATTGAAGGTATGTGCCTTGGTAAGTTAGAGGACTTGGTTACTTTGTTTGAGGTTATAAAGTAAACTCATTCATTCATTCATTCACTCATTCAACAAACACCTGGGGATCTGGTCAAATACCAGGCAGCCAATGACTAGAAATGTACACTAATATTGTCTTGTTTTGATGAGATCTAAATCTTGGAGATGATAAAGAAATGAAAGCAGATAATCACTCTGTACAGGAGAGGTATGTTGGAACACTTTGCAGAAAATAGAGTACAAAGTGGCTAAGTCAGGATCATGGAATAAGGGATACTGCCAGGAAGAAGGTGACATTTTGCCAGGCCTTAGTTGGTGACTCACCACTTGCTCAGCAAAGGAGTCAGGGTGGCTTTTTGCAAAGCTGGAGCAGTGGGAGGGCTTCACATAGAAGTAATTGGAAGGGAGGGGGCTAAGACCATAAGAGACGACATGCAGAAGGACCACCATGTGTTATTCCAGGCTGTGTAGTCAAGAGGACACGTGCCAGTGTGAGCGTGGAAGACTTGAAGAAGGAATGGATTAAAGCAGAAGCTCTGAATGGAAGGTGGAATGAGCAGCCATCTGACAGGAAGCAGCTAGAGGGTGACTTGCTAAGAGGATGTGGGGAGGCGGGAGGGAGGCCAGGATGACTCAAGCTTGGGAAGAGCATCAGGGATGCAGAGAGCAGGCACAGATGGAGGTCTGAGCAAAAAAACGTCAGAAAGCTGGCTCTGAGACCCACTGAGTGTGAGGATGTGATGATGGCCGCCCAAATGGAGCTCATCTATAAATCAAGGTTCAGAAAAGCATCAGAACTCTAAAGATATGCCTCAGATGCTCAGGGTGTTATCTCAATCTCTTATAGAGTTCTCCAAGAAATTATGACATTTTTATACTTCCTACCTCATTGTCCCTTCACCCCCACCCCACACATAAAACACTCAGAAAAATAAAAGTGGTGCAACTCAATTTAAGTTTGAAATATATTCTCACATCATTTATATTGCACAGTTCCAGACATCTGTCTTGCAATCAAGTCAAAGTGTTCGAGCTCATGAAAGAGATGGGGTGATTCTTAGGGAAAAGCCACTTCAAAGACAATGTCCCAGTGAATGTGGTACAAAGAGCACCTGGCTTTATAGCCACCCATCAGGATGGTGTAGTCATGACATCACTGATGGACCATATGGTATCCACTGTCTCTGTGGAAGACTCAAGAAGCCCGTGGTGAACATTGTGCTAGCTGCTTCCCTGGCATCATTCCCATTGATGATTCTATGTGCAGTGCAGCCACACACAATTACTAACCAAAGGGGAGCCACAACTTCCATTCTCCAAGAAAGGGATACAGACTGCATAGGATGGCTGGCCCTTATTCAAAGCAGCAGCTCACAGACAGTTGTGCTGGAGAACACATTCAGATTAACAAACGACATGGTGCCTACACCACTGTAGCAGTCTGTAAGGTAAGGACACCAGGATTCTGTATCAGAGAAGAAGCTTACATCTTGCACCAAGAACAGAGTGCTACCCTTCTTTTAAATTATTATCTTAAAAAGCAAAAACTATTGCCTCGATAATTCAGAGTTATCACCTATACAGCTTTCAATCAGTAAATGTATACTTTCCAGGCCCACTGTGCAATGCTTGCTTATGCCATCCTTTGTGTTCTATGGGTTTTCCAAGGATCATGATAAAAGTCAAAGCGATCAACTCTTTAGAAGCTTGCAGGGATGCTAGTCTTCAACAGATGCCATCCTAGAGTGTCTACTATGCCCAACGGGCTTAAACAAACACAAGAAGGTGGCATGTAGACTTCATGAGTCTGCCAATTACTCTGGGTGGCTCTAAATCCCTACCTGTGATTATCCTTCAGGCTAGGCATGTGCACATGTGCAGACACATTCAGACACAAAACATGCACACAGACACGAGTAATTTAATGTTAAAAAATGCTTCTTGGACCTGGAGAGTTGGCACCACGACCACTGGTTGGTTCTTCCAGAGGACAGGGTTCTATTCCCAGAATCCACATGGTGGCTCACAGCTCACAGCTCACAGCTGTCTGTAACACAAGTCCCAGAGCATGTGACACCCTTTTCTGGCTTCCATGGGCACCAGGCGTGGGGGTGGTGCACAAACATACATGTAAGCAAAATACATATATATGTATAAACAAAAACCTTTCTTAAAAACTATGTAGTTTACAACTTCTTTTATGCTTTCTCCTTGCCCTAGATGCTTGGACATCTGGGTGTAGAGCAGATTTCTTTCTTGATAGAATAACTCAATTAACTACTTTAAAAATTCTGATAGCAGCTTTACTCAGAATATCCAAAGAGGCTATGAATAGATACAAACTAATGTATTAATTGAAAATTAGACATATCATAGTGTAGAAAAATTCATGGAAAATCATGAAGTATTAACACCTATTATACTACAGATGTTCCTTGAGAAAACTATGCTTGGTTAGTCATCAAGACCATAAATGACAATTTTTTCCATATAAATGTCCAGAAGGAGGAACTAACCACATAAAAGGTAGGTGCTTGTCTCTGATTGAGGAGAAGGACATAAGAGTTAGATCACCTAGTGATGTGATAGCTATGAATACAATATAGTAATTGTTTAAAGAGAAGACACTATTCTACATCTAGCTGTGATGGGACTGTAAGACTAAGGGAGCTCTGAAAACCATTGACTTGTACACACTAAAGGAGCCAAGTGAGGGCCTATGTCACATCTCAGTAAGCAGCTTCCAAGAAAACTCCATCAGAAATTTGACCTGAAGTCTTAAAACATTTAGTTTTGATGCTATTGAACTATAATCAACTTCAGTTAAGATCTCCACAT